AACTCTAAATGCCAGGCAGGATTAGAGCTCACGATTTAGTGTCACATGGCTGTGCTACTTCCTTAGAGAGGATATTTGCAGCAAGTCTTGAAATCTTGAGGATGTCATAAAATGTGAAAAAATTAATTGTGTCCATTGTTTTTATGAGTCCTTTGTATGAATGTTAGCAATTACTAGCCCTACCAATGTGGTATCATAATGTTTGTACGTGTTTCACAACCTCTCAAGTGCTTCAGAAACTGCTTAAATGCTATTTTATATGAATTTCCTAATCTTACATGATGTGATTAATTCTATTGTAATCTGTTAGTTAGTTGTGTAGGTCAGGTTTCTGATAGTGTATAAATTATTGAGAAACAGAAATGTATAAAATGCTTGGTTTGTTGAGTGGAGACTGCAGTGCTTTCAAACACTGAATATAGACCCAGTATTCATGGTGCTGTCTTCATTTTATCTTCAGAAATATCTTCATATGATTGATTTGTGGTATTGAGCCAAACTGTCTCAGTTGTATTGGAGCATTTTCTTTTAAATAGCCTGAAAATATACTTGTCCATCTTGATCTTGATTAATGTAAACTACTCACTCATATATCAGATTCTATCCCTATGATAGCTTTTTATAGAAACCAGCTTGTGATTTGAGAGTGGGACAAAGCTCTAAGTACTCTTTTAAGAAGGAAGATTTAGCCTCAGGAGCACATTTTGGACTCCATTCCCAAGCATAGGCCGTGTCTGCTTGGGTCATGGAATTCTTCACGTGATTCTTTGAAAAGTACTTTTCTCATTCAAACCAGTTTTTGGAATCTTGGGAAATCTGTACAAATATTATATATCTCTTCACTATTTGGTTTGGCTTAGCAGTACCATTTCTCAGATGAGGGAGGAAATGTATATTTCACACTAAGGCAGTCTGTTTGAGATGACTGTTTTCACTGCGATAGACTGGCACAAAGTCAACTAAAAAAAAACACTGGAAAATGCTTCCTCTTTTCCTATCATTTTATGGATGAGGAAATTAAGATGCAAGTGTGACTATCATCTGCCTAAATGGTGGCACATCATTAACATTTACCCTGAAATGGGTAGGCATTGAACTTCCACGTTGTGTTCTAATTTTGAAAAATCCCATGTCAAATTACAGCCTGTTGGAATCACACCAGTCTTTGCCTTTTTCTGTTTCTGGTACCTGTTGCTTCCCAGTGAGGCTGGTGCTACATTTGGTAGCATGTGCCTCTTCAGGGCACTTTTATATCATGTGAGTGAAGATGTAGCTAGTGGAAACAGCCATACTGTACTGCTTTGCTATTTGCATTGATGTGACAAAACACTCACACAAAAGCATCTTTAGGAAGGCTGGTTTATTCTGGCTGCAAGTTAGAGGGTACAACCTGTCATTTCTGGGAAGCTATGGCAGCAGGGATGTATCAGGTGCCTAGTCACATCGTGTCCATTGTCAGGGGACAAGGGATAAGTGCTGGAGCTCAGGTCCATTTCTCATTTTTTTTCTCAGTTCTAGAATGCAGCCAATGTGGTGGTGATGCCCATAGCCAATCCTCCAGTCCTCAGCTCACCATTCTGGAAAGACCCTTGCTGACACACCCGCACGTGTGTTTTCATGATTGATTCTAAGTCCAATCAAGTGGACAGTGAAGACTAACTGTCCTGCATTCCATCACTTCTGTTTCAAGTGTGCCACTCTACATATGTTTAATGCATACGATTTGAGTTTCTCATATCGAAAGGAGTGACATACTGATCTCCACTGCTCTACCTTCCTTCCAAAGGTTTGTTTTTTAACTGAAAAAAAAACCTGTCTAGGTATTCTCACAACATAATGCTGTTTGTGAAATGATACATAAAATAACTGGATTTAACCATTCCACAATGTGTAGTTCTACTAAAACATTATGTTGTACACTAAAATTAATAAACTTTATTTTGTCAATTTAATAAATCTAGTAATAAGACACATATACTCTAAAGAAAAGCTTAAAGGATGCTGAGACATTTTCCCTGGCTTGGTAACCTTGCTTTTGACTTAACCTAGTCTTGATGTGAGACTAAAGAAGAACAGGCATGCAGGGGTTGTTGTTTCCTTTATCTGTAACTTCGCTTTCTGCAGTTCCCAACACCTGTCACCGTTTTTCAAATTAAAAAAAAGTAAAATTCTGGAAGTTGCGTATCATTTAAATGATGAGATTTCATGGATTTTAGTTCCTTGTTGAGTAAGTGTTAAGGCATCCCATTGTGCAGCACGAGACGGTCTCCGGCCTGTGGGTTGCCATCCTCTTGGTCACTTAGTAGCCATTATACATGTTCTCTCAGCACCTCAGACTTTTCTATTCAATATCTATGACCGTGTATGTTTGAGTATGCTCAATCTACAAGAGTATAAGACTGGCTGTTTTGATATTACAAAGAAAAGCTAAGTAACTTCATTCAAGTGAAACATGCCAGTTTCTAGCATAATAAGAAAAAACAAAACTGAAACATAACTACGAAGACTGGATCTATAACTTGGTGTAAAGGACTTCCTAACATGCATAAAGCCCGGGTTTGTTCTCCAGCACTCTCACAAAACAAAACAAACAAACAAAAAACCAACAAAGGGGACATGGAAGCTTGAGACTGTAATTACAACAGGAGGTAGAAGCAAGAGAATCAGAAGTTCAAGTTCATTTCAGCCACACAAGGAGTTAAGGGTCAGCTGACTGGGATGCAAAATATTCCCCTTTCAAGTAAAAGCAAATGTACCCATGTGATGGATGGATATAACATTCATTTGTAGACAATAGTCACTCAAAAGTGTTTCTCTGTGTCCCTATGAAATCTCATAGTGAAGAATAAATAGGGTTTCTAAACAGTATTATAGAATTCAGTCTTATCCGTGTATATTTGCTGAGGCTCTTGGGAAATTCTGCCCAGTGATTAAGTTGGAGGTACTGTGTTTGTCACTTCTGATATCAGTTAATGCATGCCACTTTTCTTTTTACATCTCTGTTTGCAGACCAGCTAAATATGTTAAGGTGTTTTAGCTTCTCAAAATAACCGAATAATCTAGTTAATTACAACAACTAAAGCTGCTAACATTTTATCCTTAACTCCTTCCTGGAGACTCAAATACCTTTTTAGGACATCTCGGGGTTGGGGGGATTTACCAGATATTTTCCACTTTCTAAAATGAGTTGCCATTTCCCTAACCTCTGACAGAGGCTCCTTGCTAGTGTCCATCCTCTCAGCTGATGGCACAAATCAGCCTTTGTTTTCTGTGCTCACTTCCGATGGCTTTTGTCCTATAAAGCAGCTCCAATGTCTTTGCACTCATAACAGCATACATTTGCTTCTTTTTTTCTTCCCTGTTGGGGGTTATTTGCCAGCATTGCCTCTGATGACTACGCTGATTGCAAACTTTCAGGAACATTTCTCTTTTGAGGAATCCAGGCTAATGAGATCAGATGTCATTTAAGAAGGCTGAGTGAAATCAGATATACCAACACAATTCTAAACTGACTCTTGGTTGTGGCCTATACTGCACTGACTTATATTCTATAACTCAAAGAAGTCACATGGCCACACTTAAAATATGCAGGTGAGAACTGTACTCTGCCTACAGGAAAGTGTGTCAGGGAGAAGTACTGGAGTGTGAATTCTTATCAAAACATACACAGTTTGACTGATCTAGGAATGTATAAATGGTGCTCAAACTGTGAGGTTGGACTTGCTGGTTTTTGATTGTTTTGCTTTGATATTGAAGAATTAAGAACTTATTCAGTAGGTGACTGTTGAGCTCCAAGCTCTTTCTAGACTTGTGATGTGAATGCTGGATGGTGCTGGCGAGTCACATGAATCCTGGTCATGTGACATGACATGAGAACAATCTCCTCTACTGTGTGTGTTAGGTTGCTAAGCAGTGACACGCCTCGGGTTGCCAGTCACTATTATCCAACTTGGTACTTTTCAATTTTACAGTAAGTCTGTGAGACAGATGAAGTGTCGCTGTACAATGAAAAACTTCTGTGATGGAGAAAGGGAAACTGATCATTTTCTTAGACTCCCACACACCCACAGTCAACAGGTTCCTATTACTCCCTGACTAAATATTGCACGGTCCTACATGCTCTAAAAAGGACTCCTTTGTTCTGCCTGTTTTAGACATTATAAAATGATTGTTTCTTTAAGTCAATGTGGAAACATATCACTGGACTGCTGGAGGGCAGAAATCCCAGTCACACTGTGGAAAGTAATTACAGCCAGAGGGAGACAGCAGAGTTAAAGTGATGACAGCAGAGGGCTCACGGCTTTTAATTCTTTAGCAACCGCATTTGAAAGTGAGACACATCCTACAGGTATATATTAAGGCTTGCAACAAGACATGTAAGTCCTTAACTTTAGTTTTGTATCTACAAAATAGGGCCCATAGCTACTAAATAATACTGCAAAAAAATCTGCACGTTGAAGTGCCAGGTGCCCTGTTCATTGATTCGTACCTATAATGTGACTGTTTAAATATTATCTACACAGTCATTTGCTGATCAGAAAATGGTACCTACATCTGTATGTATACACTTAAAATCTTTATAATTATTCAAGAATATTAATTTACTTAGGTACAAATAAACCAGAAAAATAGTAAAAGTCAGCTCAGAAATATTTTTCAAATACAAGTTTAGTTTATTTCTTTATTTTACTTTATGATCATATCTGACCAATTCAAACCATTTTCAAGGTGGATTTTTAACAACCAAAAATAACTGTGTAGTATTAACCTAAAGTATTTTGTGTTGTGTTGTATACTGGTTCTACTACACCCAGTTACTTTGAGGAAATATAACTTTCATACACTCCTCACTGAGCTCTGTAGCTAATAGCAGTACTATGGTGTTTTTCAATAGTACTTTGGAGTTTTGCTGGCACTGTTTACATCTTCATTTTCACCGAGCACTTCATAATAAATACCATGTTATTGTAAGAACCTATCAAAATGATAGGATTACTTACAGACAGTGTCCAGGCAGGGAGAGCATTTAGATAGTCCAGTTTCCTCATGGTGTTAACATTATGACTCAAAGGAGGTGGGGCAGAAACTGTAGAATCCTGTGACTTTACCTGGCAAAGCACTGAGTGACAGAGGCATGTGTCATAAGTGGAACTTTAACAGTGCCCAGGATTCTGAAAGGAACAATGACTCACTGGAGAGTCCCACTGTCAGGTGGCCAGGGGAGTCAGTAGACCGAAGCCACTCATCTTGGTGACAAGGAAGACGGTGTGGCCCCATGTCTCTGGCCAGACCGACTCACTGTGTTGTGACATTTTAAGCCTGCTCGAATGGTACTGTTCTTCCAGAAACCTGGAGTGGATTCTAGTTTATTTCTTGTTCCTATTATTGAGACTAGGGCATAATATTAATAATATGGATTTTTTTCTTATTTGATGTCTGAAAAAACGGGCATTATAATGGAAGTACTCTCTGGCCATGTAATTTTGCTAGAAATACCCAGGGATTTTAAAAGATTCTTTTCTTAAGGCCAGTATTAATTTAATCCTTTTGAAATTGAGAAAGAGCCCAAGGACTAGTGTTCTAGTTAGCTTTTTGCTGTTTTGTTGGGTTTGGGTTTGTTTGTTTGTTTTGTTTTTGTTTGGTCAACTTGTCACAAGCCAGGATCATCTGGGGAGAGGAAATTTCAATTTAGAAAACGTGACTATATAGTCGGCTTATAGGCAAGTCTATGTCCGTGTTTTCTTCACTGATGGTTGATATGGGAAGACCCAGGCAACTGTGGGCAGTGCCAGCCCTGGGCAGGTGGTCCTAGGTTGTATAACAAAGCAGGATAAGCAAGCCATGGAGAGGAAGCAGGTAAGCAGGGTTCCTCCATGGCCTTTGTGTCAGTTCCTGCCTCCAGGTGCCTGCCTTGAGTTCTGCCCTGACTTCCTACATGATGGACTGTATGCTGTAAGATAAAACACATCCTGTCATCCACGAGTGGCTTTGGTTTTAGTGTTTATCACAGCAAGAGAACACAAAGTAGGACACAAAGTAGATATCTGTTAAGAGAAGCTTTTTCTTTGCTAGCCGCTTTGGTTTATCCCCCGCCAGCCGCCTGGGCTCTGCAGCATTGTAGTCCCCAAATAAACACACAGGAGGCTATATTAATTATGAAGCTCTTGGCCTTGCTTGTTTCTTACTGGCTACCTCTGACTTAAGTAATTACCCCATAATTGTTAATCTAAGTATGTCTCTTACCGGAGAATAGTTCCGGGCTCCTACCCCATGGCGTTACATCTCGAACTCTCCTGTGTTTCTCCTTCCCAGAATCCTCCTGGAATCCTAGCCCCACCTATCTAGATTCCTATTGGCCAGACAGTGCTTTATTGACATATACACAGGACTTCCCCAACAGATGTCCTTATAGGTTGATTGCAAAATAGACACTCTGAATCTCTCAAGTACAGGTCAAGATAGGTTTCTATAGGTTGTTCTGAGACAGTCATTAGCCATGAGCAAAGTGTGAAAATGACTTCCTGGCCTTCCTCAGAGAAGTTCTAAGTATTTTAGTCATGCCCCTAGGTCTGTCTTATTAGAAGTTTAGCATTGATAGGAGATGCAGCACTATGTGGTCCTATCATTTGAACCAGACTGTCTTGTTTGAGTGGTAGGATTATGGGAAAGATATTTATTTCTAGTGACTCCTAAAATCAAGTCTGTTATCTCCGAAGCATGGTGAAAGTGATGTTAGAAAAATAACGATAGAAGCATAAGAAAGCAAAAAAAAAAAAAATAGAAATGTCCTACCTATCCCTTATCAAGCAGACTATGCTGGACTTGAACTCACTCTGGATACTGAGCAGGTCTTAAATATGTGATGCTTTGCCTTAGGCTCCTGAGTTGCCAGGGTCACAGGCCTGTGCCACTGAGTTCAGCTCTTTTAATATAAATAGATCTACTGGCTACTGAATGCAACCATCTTCTAAAGAAGCAGATTTATATGTGCGCATTAAAGTTTTGTGTTTTAGCAGTCTTATGTTATAAAGCTTATAATTGAAAAAATATATAAAGCTTATAATAGAAAAATAATATTCACTCATTATATGATATTTATAAACATTTCTTAAAGCTCCACAAGTTATATGGAGCTCATTCCTGAAACTATTTGCAGTTAATAGCTTTTCATGTATTGCCCTGGATAATTTGTATGGGTATATAAGTACATGCACATTGTATGGCTAAGGAAAGCCTCCTCTAGTCCCGCCAGAAGCCTTCTTGAATGGACCTGCAACATATAAATTAATAAGAAAAAAAACATGTTTTGTTTGGTTTTGAGATAGTGTTTTACACATCCTCCAGGGTGGCTTTAAACTTGAGATCTTACTTTGTCAGTCTCCTGAGGCAAGGATTACAGGCTTGAGACACTAATTCAGGAAATACATATAAACTAGGCAAGGATTACAGGCATTGGGTGACCGTGTCAGGTAGTACATATGAACTTGACAAAGATTACAGGCCTGAGTCACCATGTCAGGTAGTACATATGAACTTGGTAAGGGTTACAGGCAAGAGTTATCGTGTCAGGTAGTACATACAAACTTGACAAGGGTTACAAGCATCAGCTACCTTGTTAGGTAGTACATATGAACTTAATATGTACAGTGGTGACTATCAGGAAAGTTATTGCCTACCTGTCAAGAGGCATTTGGATGGCTATTTCCATTCAGGAGGTGAGGGAATGGGGAGCTTTCCTTCTGAGGATTAGTAAGAGTTTTTATTAGGAGAAAAGACTGAATTTAGAGGAAAAACACTAATTTACAAACAATTATCTGTGGAACTTGAATGCATCCAAAGGACAGACTTCTGTGAACAGCATTCTATCTATGCATGTTGGGGCCATGGTTAGCCTTTGCTGCCATCTTATCCATGAAATGTTAAGATGATGGTGAAAAGTAATTGTTTTCTGTCAGATCCAATGTTAACATACTTAAGCTGATCAAGATTCGTTCTATGAAACTTCCTTGAAAAAGAGGATCAAAGATAAGGTATGGAGGCAGGATGACCAGGGATCCTCATTGTCAGACTGTTTCTGTATATCCACGCTCTGCGGTATTGTTCCATTAGCCAGAACGCCACACCAGTACCCTAGTACAGGGCATACTTTAAAACACATAGAAGCTGATTGAAGAGATGGTTCAGCAGTTAAAAGCACAGACTGCCCTTGCTGATGACCTGGGTTTAGTTTCCATACCCACATAGTGGCTCACGACTGTCTGGCCTCCGCAGACACTGCATGCATATGGTGGATACATATACATGCAGATAAGACACTACTACATTGAAAATAACGTTAAATTTAATAAAGTAAAACAGAACCACATTTTACTTTTATCATTTGTCTCACTCATCAGTTTGTATAGAACAGATGCATTGCTTTTTTTAAAATATCATTGGATTAGTGCTTTTCTTAATGAATGAAACAATTTGCCCTTTTATGATGACCATCCTTAAGAAGTCTTTTAAAATATCTTTGCATGGTTATGTAATTACCCATGTAAGAAACAATGTTCTGGTACAATCACTGTGTTTGTGGCTTTTAGAAACAATTTACCACGACAGCATGGGAGTTTCCCACTCGATTTTTAAAACATTAGTGTAAACCTCATGCTGAAAACAATGCACACACACTCTTAACACTACTAGAGGCCAACATCCAGGACAGCACTTCTCAAAGTGGTGCAGAAGACTTGGCTCTCTGCCTCCTCTCGTTTCTGGTGGTCACCACTGTGACTTGATATGCTCTGTTTTGCAGTTGCTTTCGTTTCTGCTCTGCTTTCATCTCCCTGTCCCTGTGTCTGTCTCTCTAGATTTCATATCGGTAGTCTAAGTATAGTGTTGCGGGCAGATCTCACCTCAACGAGACAGAAAAATGTTGTCGGAAATTCCTTATATCTTTGCTGTTCAAGGTACCTTTAGAGATCCTGGGAATTAGAGCATGAACACAGCCACCATTTAGCCTATTGTAGTTGCTGTCTATGTGAGTGTAAAAGCATAATTATGAAGCCAGGCGGTGATGGCGCACGCCTTTAATCCCAGCAATCGGGAGGCAAAGGCAGGCGGATCTCTGTGAGTGTGAGGCCAGGATGGACCAACAGCCTCCAAAACAATACAGAGAAACCCTGTCTCGTAAAAAAACAAAACAAAAAAAGCATAATTATGATAAAGTAGGATAATTGTTTGGTACAAATGGTTCACGTATAATTCTTCACAATTTATTATGTATTAGTATAGTATTTTTCTCTAATTTACCAGTTCCAGAGATAGCTTTAGTTAGTTTTGACCCTTAACATCAATTAGCACTCTGTCTTTTTAACCACAGCAAGAGTTTGCGTCTAAAAATAGGCTTTGTGTGGCTGACATTTGAGGGCCATGTACTATTGATATCTTTCTTGTCTGGCTGTCAACGTAAATCAGTCGATAAGGATTTAAAAGATGGTTCACTTAGAAGAGAACACCCCCACAGGATCAGATTTCAATTTAATTCAATTATAGGCTAGAAAAGAAAAGACGTGATTCCATTTGATACCTGCTGTTAAACTGGATAAGCTTGCATCTCAACTTAAAACTATGTACATTAATTTTGCATTGTTATATTGTTTGTGTAGGAAAGAAGAAATAGAAAATAAAACTATCACATGATTGTTCTTTGTGGAACATATTAATCTACTTAGGTGGCACATAAGCCAGCATTGGGTGCATGTGAGAAAGAGTTCCTGCTTTAGTATAACGAATCTGCAGGATTTACAGTGGGGCTACACTGCTTAATATGGGCCTTCCTTTGCTGAGTATATTATTTCAAGACTTTGTTTTTGAAGATTAAATATGACACATTCTTGTCATATTTAAAGAAATTACAGAAGCACTCACATTTCATAAAGGAATGTACTGGTGTTCTGCAGTGTGGAATGCAAAAGAGCCTCAAGTAAACTGAGGCTGTGGATTACAAAAACAACTCAACTGAATGCCTAGAAGTAGTGGAATCATTAAAGTGTTATTATTCACGTACCCAGAAAAGCTGATGATAAATAAGCATGTGGCATACATAGGTAGAGCCAAGAAACCATGTCAGAAAATGTGATGCTTTCCTGTGAAAGCTATAGTGGTTGACATTGTTTTGTAGTGGAGAGAGGGAAATACAGAAAACTTTGTATAAAAAATTTTGTGTTTTTTTATAATTGTTAATTTAAAAAATTGTAAAAGTTGCTCATCCATTGTTAAAATTAACAATGAATTCATATATTCTTTGTGTGTGTATGTGCCTAAAGGTCTATAAACTAGCCTATGATTGATCAGAGTCAGTAGAGAAAGGATGTAACTAGATTAATTGAAATAATCAAGTTGAGGTATTAAGCTGTTTGTTGAAAGGTACTTAAGATATAGATTGGTTTTTCTAAAATATGGATCAGTTAGATTTTACACTGCAAAATTTGGTAGAAATTTTGGTGAGCAGATAGAATTTGTAGCATCCTGAGATTTTCTCAGAGTCACTTTTATTCTTGCTTCTTAACTAGTAAGACATGATTACAGTTAATTACAGCCCAGTGGGGTGGCGAGGTGGGGGGTGGGAAGATGGGGTGGGGAGGTGGGAGGATGGGGTGGGGAGGTGGGAGGATGGGGTGGGGATCAGAATCCAGTTTTCAGGGATGGCTCAGGCTTTCCTCTGAGGCTATGCCCTGCACTCAGTGAAGTCTACTGTGCCAGAGGAAAGAAAAAAAAGCTATAAAGATTTCCTACATTGATGCAGACTGGTATTTGGGGTAGGCTGGAGTTCATGACTTGTCCTGCTTTTGAAAGCCATGACAACGCTCAAGAATTCCATTAGGAACAGAACTGCCTACTGTTCTACAGCCCCAGAAGTCCGATGAGTGAGTGTGCCTTTAGCTCTGTTCCTTGTAAGTTTCTTAGACCCAGTCAGTGACTTTAAGACTCCTTCACTCTCCTTATTGGTCTGCTCACATCCTTCATCCTCTTCTTACACAGCATCTTTGACCCAATGTCTTCTCTCAACACTTTGTATTAAGCAGTCCTAGAGCCAAAGTGGGTGACTGATATTTTAATGGAAAGAATCTAGTTTTCACTTTTTCTTTTGCTTATTCTGGTCAATATTGCCTGTTATACCAAGTTTTATACATTCAGTACCACACTGAGGTTTATATCTTGAATAAATACATTTGTTCTATTATTTAATTAGACATGTTTAGGAAGTTTGAGTTCTGAAACAGATGCATAGATTTTTTTTTTGGTTTTACAAGACAGGGTTTCTCTGTATTGTTTTGGAGGTTGTCCTGGAACTCCCTCTGTAGACCAGGCTGGCCTTGAACTCACAGAGATCCGCCTGCCTCTGCCTCCTGAGTGCTGGGATTAAAGGCGTGCACCACCACTGCCCAGCACGTGGAATATTGTTTTTGCTACCCACTGTTAAAATCTGCTTATTATTGATAGTATTTAGAATCATTTTGTTAAATCTTATACATACACACCCACATGCACAGACATATACAAACACACATAGGCATGATTTAGCACCAATTTATTTAAATAGACATTAGGAAATGTGTGGCAGCTTATGAATGTCAGTAAGTTTCCTTTTTCATAACATAGACTGTATAATCTAATCTGCTCTTGTGTGATGTGGCTGTAGATTCCCAAGTATATGTTCATCTGTGTGTGAATTCAGGAGAAAGCCAGGGGCCAACTCCCAGGGCTGTTCTTCGGGAGACAATTTTCATTGTTTTTGGTGCAGGGTCTCTCACTGGGATCTGGAACTCATCCACTCAGCTAGGCTGGCTGGCTAGCAAGCCCAAAAATCCACTTCCTAGTGCTAGAATCATAAGAGAGTAGTATACGGATGTGATGAATTGAGTTCAGTTCCTTATGCTGGCAGAGGAAGTATTTGGTCTACAATTTGTTATTAATTTATATTTTTGGTTGCAAGCGCAGCCTTTAACGGTTGAGCCATCTCTCCAGCCCTTGTTATTAATTTTAAAGAAGCTGACATTTCTTTATTTTCCACTTTTCATGTGTGTATGTGTGTATATATATACATATATATGTGTGTGTATATATGACATATGTACATATATGATTGACAAAACATATCTATATATTCATGCACAATACTTACTTATTATAGTTATAAAAGGTGTGCAGAGCTGAGTGGTGGCACACACCTTTAATCCCAGTGCTTAGAAGGCAGAGGAAGGCAGATCCCTGTGAGTTTAAGGCCAGTCTGGTCTGCTGATCCAGATCCAGGACAGGCTCCAAAACTACATAGGGAAACACTGTTTAAAAAAAAAACAATAAAAATAAAAAGAGTGCAGAAGTACTGGTGTAAATTAAAGCTAGTGGCTAATGAGGCAGTGGAATACAGCTATACATTTAATACTTTTTTCTTTTTCTTTTAGATAATCTGGATCTGTACTACCTCTCCCTTTATATTGCCTTCAAATACTACTTGTCAACATAAAGTGACTAGGCTTAAATATACATACCACCCAAAGAAATCTGTTAAAGTGGACCTCTGACAACAGGTAAAAGGGCAATTTTTTTCTGGTTCTTTTGGTCACAAAATATGATGGCTTCCAAGTACAGAAAATATTAAAGAGTTGTTCACAAGGAAAATCATGGGATATGTGTATTCAGATTGAATCTTGACTATTGATCAACTCCAGCTGCTAGTAAGCAAGGGGTGAGAGTTGTGGGATGTGCTATTTTCCAAGGGCAATGGGTTTGGAACTTACTACTATGAACCATTAGCTGAGTGCCAGTAGTAAGTTCTCTCTAGGGCCTAGGATCTGTCAACCCACAGGTTCTCAGCCCCAATAACTGGTAGATGTGTATTCCATTTTAGGGAGTATGCCATAAATTCAATGAGAAAGTGGTTGGTTGTTTGTATGCTATCTGTGGCATTGTTGCACCTGGGGGCATACATTTTTTTTTCTGAACAGGTAGCTACTGGGTTTCATACCTGACAAGACTCATAACAACTTTCCTCCTCTGGTGGTAATACATAGCTCCTTTAAGTGCTATGAAACATAGCAGGGATTGATCTCTGTCTTCTGTCCTTTGAAAACCCCCTCTTGCTGATCATTTGTCACTGGAAAATTGGAGGATGTGCTCCCAGTAGGGGAGATCATCTTTCCCACTCCTAGCTTTCTTCACTTAGCTATAGTTCTTTGTATAGGGTTGAAGTGGGAGCACTAATTCTTTTGTTTGTTTTTTGTTCTTTTTGAGATACTGTTTCTCTGTGTAGCCTTGGCTGTCCTGGAACTTACTCTGGGAGAACTAATTCTTAGCAGAGACTATTGTGTGGTTAGTACTATGTTGTTTGCTTCTCTGATGGGACCTAAACATATTGAATTGGGTCTTTGTAGTGTTTCTTCATATGGAAATTGTCTTTCCCCTTTGTTAAATGAGTGTGATCTTGGCTTTCTAGTACCACATTTTGTCAGGTTGTAGAACAGTTGACTGGGGCTAAGGCATGTGGAATAGACCTGTGCAGAGTGAGAAAATACTGATAGAAAATCCTTAGGGGTCAATGTTAGGTGTTCAGGACTTCTCCTAAAGTAGCTAGAGTGAGTGAACTGGCTGTGGGTGCCTGAGATCCAAACCTGAGACTGGGGTGAGCATGTTAGCACAGGATATAAGGTCCTCAGACAAGCTGCAGCTGTGGATGTGCTAACTGAAGGAATCGCTCATTCTGACATGGAGGGGGAGGGTCAGCCAGAAGGAAAGCAACATGTGGTCATGAGACATGTTGTAGGAGCAAGTGGAGTTGGTGGGGAAAGGGATGAGTCTGGTGTCTTACCTGGAGGGAAGGTGTGCATATTTATGCCTTTAAATATGACAGGGAACTGAATCAGGAAATTTTATTTCTAAATGTTTATCATATCAAATGTAATTAAGACTACAATCATGTGAACTCATGGATTAATAATGAAAGATAGTTGTTTCCATTCTGCATGCTGGAAAATTACAGGGCCACATCTATACTGCTAGTTAACTGTCTCTACGAATGTAGGAAAAGATAAAGCTATTTGCTACATAAAGCCTTCTGGCATTTCCTCCATGATTCTCCAGGTTTTCTTTTTTTAGTTTTCAAGCAAGAAGGAAATTGGTAACTTCACAATTTAATTTAAAAATGAGGTAATGAGCCCAGATTCTTAAAACAACTTTCAAGGCCAATTGCTGTCTTCTATGTATTTAAACCATGTTTACATTCCACCATTCCCTGTTTTCTTTAAGTGTTTTGCATTTATAAAGACACTATTTTTGGTACTCAAGTGTTGTAAATCGATCAACATTCAAAAATAGTACTATTTTAAAACTCAATAAATGTAGAGTTAGGAGAGATAATTAGTATTGTGTCCAACAAGAAAAAAATAAAGAAAATTATAACATACTGTAAATATATAAACCTTTTGAAAGTAATTCTTGATAAACATTTTTTTTGTTTTTTTTTTACTAACTTGTAACCTCTATAGAATATTAACCTAATAGAAGTGGTTTTCATAAAACCCAATACCCACTTTATGTGCATCATTTGTCTGTGTCTTTAACCTCATATCTTTCTGGTTTCTTTGGCATTTTAGTAGACTTTTGTTGTGTGAGTTTTTTTCCCTCTTAGGCAGGCATTGTAAACACACACACACACACACACACACACACACACACACACACACACACACCTGCTCTCTCATGAATGGAGACCCCCCTCCACCACACACACACACATTGACTCACTCCTGAATGGAGACCATCCCCTACAGATCAAAGTCACAATCTCACCAAAGTTCAAGTTGTTACACGAGGTGGGATTTTTTTGGGGGTGGCTTACAGGTGTACAGATGATTCAGAAGCAGTTGCATCCCAGCAGCTCCCAGAAGCTCCCCAGTCTCCCACATTTCTCTCTCCTTTTTGCAGTGCCTGTCTGTGGCCCCATCTGCAGCCCTTTATCTGCCTCTGTGTCCTTGGATAGGGGCCCTGGTGAGAGTTTGTTTTCCTGGGTTTGTGAAGTTGGCTGACCTCTTGAGTCCCAGGTATCTCCTGTCTCTCTCATGGAGGGAATGTTTCAGAGGAAACTGTTATGCAATAGTTTCCATGGACTTAAGCATCCCAGTGCTAGTTGAGTTTTTGCCACTGTGACAATATGGCTCATGAAATTAACTTTAGTGAGAAAAGAGTTATTTTTATCAAATGGTTCAGAGATTAAAGACACCATTGCTTGATTCTTTTGTTGTGGACCACTGTGAGAGCGTGGTGATAAGGGAGCATGTGTTGTATTATACCTAAGATAATCATGACGGGAGCCATGGAGAAAGACAGAAAAGGTCACAGTCCCAGAGTTCTCTACAAAAGCATGGGATCTAACTTTCCTTCTGGTAGGTTCTACAACTAAAAGGTCCAGCTATTTCCTAACAGCACCAAGAGCCTGTGACCAGTCCTTCAGCACCACAGCACTAGAAGATGTTTAAGATCAAGCCACACGGCTTTTGCAGAGAGAATTTTCCAGGCTATTAATGTTTTGAAAATCAAGTGCTCTTGACTGTTTCACAGAATGTAATAAAAATGTCAAGTGGTTTTTCTCTGGCTTATTTTACTCCCTGAGTACATAACCAAGTAGTCTTCTTTCTGATTCTTTGTATATTAACTTAGTGCCAGCAGTTATTAATGAGAGCCAGTTACTCTCATATTATTCAGACCCTGTTTCTTAGTATTTCTGAAATTTGTCTCATTTTAAAAAGAATACCAAAGATCTCTGTGGAAACTAAGCTGATTAATAAATGCTTACCTGTGATAATAAGGACTAAGCAAAGAAAGGATTCAAAATTTACAGAGGTATATCCCTTTATCCATATCATTTTTTTCTATAATTACATTACAGGTTAATTTTTAAATATCATTTGTTCAGGTGAGTAGAAAAAGAGATGCACAATTTGAAATGTTTTTAATTTTTAAATAATTAATTTTATTTTAAACTGAAAATACAATTTTTTCTTATACTGCATTCTGATTGATTCCCCTTCCCCCAGATATTCCCATATACTCTATGCCTCCACACCCACCTAGATCCATATCCCTTTTTGGCCCCTTTAAGTAGAAAACAAACTAGAGTCTTTAAAAAAATAAGAGAAAAATAAAATAAAATAAAAAACCAGGCAAACCTGAAAAGGACAAAACAAAGAAACAAAGAATCAAAACTAAATATAGCACAAGAAACATATATAGACACAGAGACACAGGCTCAACTCAAAACCAAAAATTCGTGTGTGTGTGTGTGTGTGTGTGTGTGTGTGTGTGTGTGTGTGTGTGTGTTTGCAGTGGTGTACACGTGGAAGTCACATGATGATTTCTAGGAATTAGTTCTTAGCTTCCACTGTGTCAGTTCCTGAGTTTAAACTCGTTGATGGAATTGGTTGCAAACACCTTTACCTCCTCTCCTCTGCTCCCCTCCCCTCCCCTCCCCTCCTCTCCCCTCCTTTCTTCTCTTCTCTCCTCTCCTCCTCTCCTTTTTCTCCTCTCCTTTCTCTCCTCTCCTCTCCCCCTACGCTCGCCCATCTCCTCCCCCCTCTCCCTTCCTCTTCCCTCCTCCCCTCCCTTCTTTTTCCTCTTCTCTCACCCCCCTCTCTAGTTTGGAATAATTTGTGATTATAATTTATCTTCTTGAAGATATTAAAGAACTAAAGAAATTTGCCTTTTTCAACACCATTCAAAAATTCTGCTATACTAATTTCTCAGCACTTACCCTCTGAAATATAATGGAAGGCACATTTGTCAATCATTTCCTAAGTTCTTTATAAACGGTTATTTGAGATTGCTTCAAAAATTATCAACATGTGACTAAGCAATGTATGTAAATATAGAGCTAAAACAATACAATAAAAATATAATTTTTCTATTAACAGTGGTATCAATCAAAAGTGGAATTTTTATGATTTTTAAATTATGATTTATACTTCATGTATTTCCTATATTGTCTAAAACTTGCATAGCTACAAAAAAGTTCTACAATAACTCATAAAAGTAACCAAACAACTCATAAAATTGTAGTTCTATCTCTGGGATTCATGACATTACATTATCACTTAAATTAATTAGGCAAATAGTCATATAGGACAATAATGATAATAAATGTACAATTTTTAATAATGACTGTTACACTGAGTGTTTTCCTCTTCTGCGTTTCCTTCTCTAATGTCTGTCATAGGCATCATTAAACTGCAGTTAGCAGACTATTTTGTAAAGAAAGTTTCATCGGAAAACCATGCTCACTTGTGTCAGTGTCTTCAATGATATTAAAATTCAATTTGGATAAACACTCAATGCAGACCATGTAGCCAGGAAACCTTACAGTCTTTGTGTGTCCTTTACAATAAAATCTTGAAGACCCTTATCTTATAATTAAAGTTGATAAAACACTATTATTGATTCCATTCAAAAGCTTGTGGGATACAGTCACCTGTGTGACAACATGTGAGTCCTCAGAGGACATGAGGTTAAATTACATACATCTGACCCCAAAGGAAAAATACAGAAGGATCTCATTGTTTTTTTGATGAATGTTAAAAAGAAACAAATCTGAAATCAGAGACCCAAGAATAGAAGGGTATTTTCTTAGAGATGGAGGCCAAAACAGAAGCTGGTTTTCAATGAAAGAGGTGCTGTTCCCAGGCTCAGAACTGCAGCTGTGCGGGATCTGTAGGTGCAGAGCTCTTTGTGTAGTGGGCTTTGTGTCACACAGTACTGACTGTGTGCTCTGAACTGACTGGTAGACTTTAGGTATTCTACACACACGCATGCACACACACACACACACACACTCAGGGGTGGAGAGGGAAGGAAAGGGTCAGGGTGAGGAGCAGGAGAGTAATGGGCATTGCATAAGGATATGAGTGTTGGGTTAATTTGAAGGCAGTTGTGTTGTCATTCCACACTGAATATGCACATTAAGATATCATTCTTTGCAACTTATATACGTGTGTGCACATGTGTGTGTGTGTGTGTCTGTGTCTGTGTCTGTGTCTGTGTCTCTGGATGTGGTGTGGTATGAAAACCATCTACAACTTTACAAAAGCCAGGAACAACAATCCATGGGTTGATTTTGGAAAACATTTGGGATATATATACAGGAATGTAGTTTTTTTTTCTCATGTCAACACAGCCTCTCTGTACTCTGGGAGGATGTGGAGACAAGGTTTTCATTGTGTAATTTCTTACATATTAAACTGCGCATCATTTCCTTCCACAGGAAAGTAAGTGTTCTTAGGTGTGTACATATTAAAGAGCCTCTTCTCCACTCCCTCAACAAACTAGCACATTTATTCATGTAGCAATGAAGAGAGAGAGATAGACAACAAAGAGAAATTCATAAGACTGTTGGTAGCACTAATTTGGGGAAGGCAACATTTGGAATTAAGATTAGTCTTAGGGCGTGGTGATGGCTCAGTTGTTAAGTGCTTGTGAGGACCTGAGTTCAGTCCCCCACACACAACATGCATGCATACACATGCTCACACACAGAGAAACCATTCTTTCTTGAAGTGTGGTAGGTGCGTTTCCTCTATGCTTAAAAGTAAGATTGAAATAGTGTTTATTTTAGCTTAGTTGGCACTTCAGGTTGTATCTTGATTCTTAACTTCATTTTCTAATATTTTCTTCCCATAAGTAAGTGTTTTCAGAGTTTTCCGTCTTAATACTCAAGGCTGTATATCTCACATTTTCTGTTTGGATTTTCTGATAATTTTCCAAACACAAGAATACTAAATACATTAACAAAATGATATTGAGTTACAATGAGAATGCTGTGTCAGCAACTTTCAAGGGTGATACAAAAATACAAACATATGACATAAATTGTTGTTTATTTTTCAATAGGTTACTTTAGTCTCCAGCAGAGGTGCAGAAATGCCATCGGAGACTGCTGTACCGCCTCCACACCCCATTCCTCCGGATGGAGGATGGGGTTGGGTAGTAGTTGGAGCAGCCTTTATCTCCATCGGATTTTCATATGCCTTCCCCAAAGCTGTTACAGTATTCTTCAAAGATATCCAGCAAATATTCCAAGCTAGCTACAGTGAAATCGCATGGATATCATCCATCATGCTGGCTGTAATGTATGCAGGAGGTAAGGTTCTCAGTATAGACTGATTTCTGAAATAAGTATATAGTTCTTTATTACTACATACTTCAAATTGACCATGCCCATACACTAAATCTCTTACTACATTACTATATTAATCAGTTAAGAATCAATCAAAAGCATAACTAGAACTGCATTTTTTAGTGATTTTTTTGGTGATTTAGCTCCATCTGTTTATTTCATTTTGAGTTTTAATATTTGGTGGGATGGAGAATTATCTGTATGAAGGAGGCTTGCCATATTATCAAGATCCAAGCGAATCCTTTGCTGTTCATTTGGGAATGAAACCCATGCTATGATATTGGGAGTATTTCTCACCATTGCCATAGCTGGGCAAAGTACTTTCTTTTGCTTGAAAAGGAAACATATGTTACTGTCAGTTTATAAACCCAGAATATACTCTATTTTGCACTGCCCAAAAGGATTGCTTGCATATACTTTCTACACATATTCAAGTTTTATATGTAGAATAATTCCTTAATGCTTTAGGACTCTCAAAAATAATGACATCGTTTTATTTAAGTAGCTGCTTCCAATTATCCTGTTAGTGTCTGCGTTAAAAGGAGAGTGTAAGTCACGAGAGAGAATGAATACATCAAACCACCCTACTTTGGAGTGTTAAATAATGAAAATCACTTATTATTAAGTGACCTATTGTCTTTAAAACATTCTAAATCGTAGACCAGAATTTTATAATTTTTTTTCAAAAATCATTACTTAAATGTATGGGTTTTAGAATTTTAATTTGACAACTGGTAATTTAACTTCAAGGGATAGTTACAGACTCAGACTATAAGAATTTAAAGGTATCATATAAATCACCTAGCATCACTGTTTTATTATATGTAAATAAAGATAGTGGGATCCCTAGTGAGGGAGACAGAATATTAGCAATAATAACTAATATTTATTAGAATTTGCTAGTGGCCAAGGCCTTCTTCTACAGTTGATTCATGTGATATTTCCCAATCCTCTTGACACCTTGAGAAACGATTGTCATCTTTCTGTTCTGGTACTGAGGACATAGACAATCTAACTTTCCAAAGGCACAGGGCTCATTTCCGGATATAAAACCTAAACCTTCAGACATGTAGCCATCACCTTTCTCTTCTCTCTCTCTCTCTCTCTCTCTCTCTCTCTCTCTCTCTCTCTAAACCAGGTGTTGTCTCTCTAATGTACCACCAAAGCAAATATTTGATCCTATTTTATGTGTATGTGTGTGAGAAATGTGTTTATTTTAATGATTCTAGTATAATAAGACTGGCATGGTTAAACTGTTGAACTCTTATTTGATTACCACAAGTATCCTTTAAATTCTTTTGAAGCATGTATTTGAAGAACTACACTTTAAAAACATGCTTTATTAGGCTCACCTTTGGATGATAGTTCTCAGGATTATAGATGTTAGTTCTTAGACTATATATACATGGTTGATACTGTAAAACACATATTGTATTTCTATAGCGCTGGTGTTCTTTGACCATGCTTTGCTGGGTCAACCCATTTGCCTTGGCCTGAGAGGTCAAGGAAAAGATTAAGATACCTCTGAGGTCATGCTTTCATGCTTTTTACATAACAGCAGAATGGATGCCTGTAGAGACTAGATATCAGTCTGCTGAGTTTGGGCATCTGGTTCCATTATGTCTTTCATAATTTTCTGCTGACTTTAAGTTAGTCAACAACATTTCCCAGATGCATAGTTGGGTGTTGTTGAGGTCAATACCTGAGTCATCTTCTTTTAACTTCTGATAATAATTATCATCAGCATTATCCCCAATTCTCAGTGGCTTCAAGACATGCAAGTTCATTTCTTGCTCATCAGTGCCCCCTGTAGTATCTGTGCTAACCCCTGTGACTTTGTGCTGTTCTCTAAACCTACTCCCTCTATGACACAAAGAGAAAGGACACAGCATCAAACATCATCTACAGTACTTAGTGGCCAGGCATAGAATTTATGAGCTTCACTTGGTCAGAACTTAATATTGCTCTACACTGAGGCAGGGGGCATAATAACTGGGGGCTTCCTGAAAGAAAAATGAGAACGGAATAACATCCAGTAAGTCATGGTCAGAACTTCATTCAACAGTCGTTCTCCACAAGCAAAGGAAAGCTGGTTTATGGAGTTGCCATAGTCACGGCATGGACTGTGAGATGGCTAGATAAAAAAGGGGTGTGAGAATGATGAATGGCAACATTTTAATTCAATATGATTTTAATGTTCTCATATTACTTAGTGTGACATCTTAATGAATTTTTTACTAGACTCATCATATATAAATAATTTTATGTATACACTTAATTCCTTTTAAAGATACGTGTAGTATAAATTTGAAGAGGCACAAAAGGGAACTTGTTTTGGAGACAGTGTTTCATGTATCCTATGCTGCCCTGGATCTCACTGTGTAGATGAGGATGGAAGGATGACCATGAACTTCTGATTCTACAGTATCCACCTTCCAAGTGCAGGTTATGTAGTTTGGGGGTTGAACACAGGCATAAAGACAAGATAAGTTCTCCGGCACTCAAAAGAAAACTCTTGAAATTAATAATGGTAATTTGAAATTGTTGGAAAGATCATTAAAATATTTAGAGTAATAGAAGAATAAAATATATCTAAATTAATGTGAATAGGAGATTTGTTTGTAAAATACTGTGTAGGAACTAATGATGGCGAGATCTAGGAGAGATACAACCAAGCTCTTGGAATATTGCCCCAAATCCTCAATTATGAGGACTTCCGCAATATACATGTCATTCCTGGCTATGTAGGAAATTATACTCCTCTCTGGTGTTTAGCTGAAAACTGTAAATACAACCCAAAGCCATTGCATAGTGGGAGGAAACCCCATTAAATGACCCCACATCCTGCTGGATGTAGAGTTAATCCGTTCACATAGTTGCTCATACTACCCAAGTTTTATATCTTATCCTTGTAACCAGACTTTAGTCTTTGAACAAAAGAGTATTTTGCACTAAGCATGCTGATGCACATCGAGTATCTCAGTACTCAGTAAGCAAAGGCAGGATGTGTGCCACAAGCTTAGGGATAGCCTGGTTTATGTAGCAAGTTCTCAGTCAGACAGTGCTATACATTGAGAACTTTTCTCAAAAAATAAATAAATAAAAATAAAGGGGCCAGGTGTGGTAGTATGTGCCTTTAGTCCCCATACTCAGAGGTAGAGGCAGGCAGGTTTCTGTGAGTTCAAGACCATACTTGTCCATACAGTGAGTTCCAGGAAAGCCAGAACTATGCAGGGAAACTATCTCAAAACAAACAAGTAAATGAATGGAAGGAGCAGGGGGGGGTCTGTTGGGAGATATGTCTTCTAAATATAACAGAAATGCTGCAGCCATGAAATCTCAGCAATATGCATAAATAAAGCATGAACAGTTTCAACACCAGTTGACATTGCAATGTGCCTGGGTGAAATTTCATCAAACTCTACCCCTAAATGAGAAGCTACAGTCAATTAATGACTGATGAGAGAAGGAATACTAATCTTCCCCAGGGATGAGCCTCCTAATTGTTCATGGTTACATAATACCAAGTGGTCAGCCCCACAAACATACACATACAAATAACACTACATGGACTCTGCACACACACACACACGCACGCACACACGCACACACGCACACACCAATAATAGTTGAAGATAAAAGAGGAGCCCAGGGGAGAATGGGAAGGGTTGAATGAGAGGTTAGTGAAGGGAAATAATATAGAAAAGATATAATATGGTTCAAAATGTATGTATGGTAAGGGTGCTGAAGTTATATTTCCACAATTGATGGCTTCTCGTGGGGGTGCAGGAAGGGAATTACTCTGTTCTATCTAAGAGGCAGGTCATTGAGAGTTTGACCATATTCCAGGGAATATATAGAAAGCACAAATTGGTCAGATTAGACTTGGTTTTTCTTTTCTTTTTTTTTTTTGATGGTGGTTTTCTTGCCTGGGATGACTCGAAGGAGAGCAAGGAGTGATATATGGAAGTGTTTGATAGGAGGAAAGGGAAGGGAGGAATTACATAATTATATTATTTTAAAAGAAAAGGAAAAGAATATATTTGTAAATCTAAGTAACAGACAATGCTATGTATAGACAAAATTCCACAGAAAACATGGTGACAGATTCATGAGTGCTTTAAAAACATCATCAAAGTATTCCTGCCTTTGATGATTTCTGATTAGTGGAGCATGGACTCATGTAACAGAGAAGATACAGAAGTGTGGTGTCTAAGCCAGAATCAGAAAAAATAATTTTCATTACATTTATTTGTGATGTTCTTTCTGGCTAAAAGAGGCATTATGCATTAAAAGGCACCATAGCTTTATTTTATAGGTCACATACTGTAGGATTTATACATTTAAGATGTGTAATTATCAATTTTTGGTATATCCATAAAGTTGTGTAAATACTGTCCCAATTAATTTGAGAATATTGTCATCACTTCAGAAATAAATATTATAGACCCTATTAGTTTCTTCCTTTGACTTAGCTGTCTGTCTTTATGAATGTGCTTTTTTTTTATAAATGTCCTTTTTCATTACCTTCTTTCACAAGGTGAATTCATATTGTAGAATGAATCTACTTCTATTACACACTAGTTTTTCATATGGACACACCGCATGCTGCTTACCCATTCATTAGTCAGTAGATATTTAGTTTATTCTCACTTTTTAAATTAAAACACATGGTTTTCGGTAAACACTCATGTGCACATTTCTGTGTGAACACATACTTCAATCTTTGTGTGGCATGAGACACTTAAGCTTCTACAGAACTGACAGATACTTGCTATGCTGCTAGGTGAGGTTTCATTTCTTCTCACGTGCACTGCCTCCAACTTCTTATGTCTGTAACAGAACTTGTGTTTTTTTTTCTTATAGCCTTCTTAGTGGATATAAAATTTGTCACTGTGTTCTGGTTTGTATTTTCTATTTAGGGAAGTTTTATTCAGATCAATTTTCTATGAAAATATTTTTTA